ATGGTTTGAAGTGAATACTTTAACTGACTTAACATCAGCCACGGTAATAGTGAAACTGAAGCGTCACTTTGCTACCCATGGTACACCGCGGATTCTCATAAGTCTATTCAAACAGATAAATTCGTTCATGTCCGTCTAATGTGGTTGTTTTTTTATTTGTTTAAATCATACCCATCCTTTGTGCTGTCTCTTATACACATCTAGATGTGTATAAGAGACAGGTTCGCATCAGAATGGAACTTTGTTCACATCACGAGTAGTCCTGAACATGCCCAATCAAATGGCATTGCAGAGAATGCGGTAATTAAAGCAGGCAAAGATGTTGTTAGAAAAGACACAAAGAGATGGATCAGATATCTATAAAAATCTTCTGAACTTACGCAATGTGCCAAGAGATAATGTTCTCAAGTCACCGGCACAAAGACTACTATCACATTCAACTAGAAATCCTCTCTACACAAACAAATTCTAACTGACACCAAAACCAATCAATACGAAAGTTGTAAGAAATCAATTAGAAATGAAGAGAAACTAACAGAAGCGCTACTATGACAAAAAAAGAGCACAGGCAAGCGCACTCCCAGCGCTACAACAAAACCAGACAGTTCGAATAAGAACAAAGAAAGGACATGATCGCCTGGGAACGATCAACAAGATCCTTGAACAGCCAAGATCATATATGGTCAATACCGGTAAAACGCAAATAAGAAGAAACAGAAAATATCTGCTTCCTGTAACAGAAAACAAGCCGATACAAAAAGCTGTTTATATACCATTACAATTACAGGACACACAGCCGATACACAACCCAAAACCACAAATGCAAACTCAGCCTCGTGAAGAAGTACCACAAAATCCAACACAGATTCAGCCAATAAGAACCCGAAGTGGACGAACTGTCAAACCAAATCCCAAATACAATAGCTCTATGTTTGCACAGTAATTAAAAAAAATGCAAGCGTTGATTGAACATTGATTGGATTACTGAACGTTGATTATTAAACATTGATTTGATTGCTGAAAGTCGATTATTGAACATTGAATGAACATTGATTATACATTGATTATTGAACATTGATTGAACATTGATTGTTAATTATACATTGATTATAGACCATTGTTATTGGATTGGAATTTATAAGTAAAATGGAAATTAAAAATTGAACAGGAATTTAAGATATTAATTAATATGTTAGAAAAGATCACAATTGAATGAATAACACAATCACACTTTTGACTTAAAACGTTTTATTGTTCTCATGTTTAAAAAAATAAAAATAAAAACCTAAGTCGTAGCTGGCGACAACTTCTGGTAGAAGAGTCGAACAACGACTCCGATACTCATCAAAGAAACTATCATGATGACGGTGACTCGGCTGAATTCGGAATAATGTTTGAAGAACTCGGATACCAACCCGATGATAGCGAGTAGATGGGACCTGTTCAATGGCTGACTGAAGACGCAGACGATCCAGGGTATCAGTGGCTAACGGATGATCAAATTATCAGTGGTGTGGAAACATCGCAGGAGCACAATTCATCTTATGATGAACAAGAATTTAGTCACCTCCCAAGAGTCAACGCATCAACAGATTTTAACGCTGCTGACAACCTGCTGATGTGACTGGAAGATAAGGGGATGTGGATTATATTCACCTAATGCAAGTG